TTGGGCACCTACTATGTAACCGGGGCATGGGAGAGACTTCAGTGCTCATCCATATCTCGTCCAGCTGTTATTCCTGGACACAGGAGACACTACATTGCCAGGCCACTTGTAGTTATGAAGGGACATGTGACAAGCCTTTGCCATAGAGACCTGAGCAGGAGCATTGTTTGTCACATCCAGGCATTTGAGAGCCTGTATGCCAGTTCCATGCTCTCTCCCACGATTCACCAGCAAACGTGGTAACCCCGTGTTTGATGGTGGAACCACAAGATGGAAGCAGCCTGCATCTCTGGGTCTCCTAGAGCAGAGGGCCTCTGGCTAACTGCATCAGAATTTATGTGCACAAATAAGACAGTTTTCTTGTGTTAACCTTTCAAATGACATGGTTTTTCTGTTGCATCAGCTATTGCTTACACTGACACAGCTACTTTTCTATTGCTAGGTTTATATAAATATTTTATAATATAGAGATTACTATATATTGCATTATTATATATGACATATATTGCATATATTCTTGTTGCAAAAAAAACTTCCAAAAATAGAGGTAAATCACAATTTCTTTCTTTATAAAATTCTTCCCCAATTCAGCCCCCTCCTCTAAGGTCACCACAAATAACATATTGCTGTACATTATTTCAAAGCTTATTCTAGGATTTTTCATCCATAAATATGCTGTGAGATGTGTGGCATTTTTAATGTACGTAGGTAATAACATACATGTTGATCTATCATGTGCCTTTGCTGCTTAATAAGATGGATGCAGGATATTCCCATGACAGCACATATCAATCTACCTCACTTAAGAAAGCCAACAAATAACCCGATTCCAAAATGGGCAAAGGACTTGAATAGACATTTCTCTAAAGAGGATATACACATGGCCAATAAAACAAATGAAAAGGTGCTCAACATCAGTGATCATCAGGGAAATGCAAACCAAAACCACAATGAGATATGAACTCACGACCATCCAGATGGTTACTATCAAAAAAAAAAAACCCCACAAAATAACATGTGTGGGCGAGGATGTGGAGAAATTGGAACCCTTGTTTAGTGTTGGTGGGAATTTAAGATGATACAGCAGCTGTGGAAAACAGTATGGCAGTTCCTCAGAAAATTAAAAATAGAGGTCAGCCCAGTGGCACATTCTGCTTCGGCGGCCCGGGGTTCACCGGTTTGGATCCCAGGTGCAGACATGGCATCACTTGACAAGCCATGCTGTGGTAGGCATCCCACATATAAAGTAGAGGAAGATGGGCATGGATGTTAGCTCAGGGCTGGTCTTCCTCAGCAAAAAGAGGAGTATTGGAAGCAGACGTTAGCTCAGGGCTAATCTTCCTCAAAAAAAAATTAAAAATAGAATTGTTATATGATCCAGCAATCCCACTTCTGAGTATATACCCAAAAGAGGTGAAAGCTGGATCTCAAGAAGATATTTGTACACCCACATTCATAGTAGCATTATTCATAATAGCTAAACGTGGGTGTTATATTGTGTTTTATAAGAAAAATATATATTCGGTCTTTCTCATGACCAAAATATATTTTCCATATATATTTGCTCTTTGTCTACCGTTCCTGACTCACAGCTCCCAAATCACTTGGAATTTCCTAGGTGTTGAGAATGACAGAGGTGTCTCTGGTTATGTTATTGAGATGACTTTTGGAGTCCACCCAAGGATGGGGGCTGGTTGACATGAGAATGTCGGGGAAGTGGGAGAATCCTCCCCCACCCCTGCTTTTCCTTAAGGTTCCTATGGCTGGTCAAATAGTCAAAGAGGCAGGTTGTGAGGAGAAAATCAAACAAAATTTCATAGCATGTACACATGGGAGAAACCCAGAA